AATAAGACTGTGACGAATCAAAAATAGTTAAGGAGAAAAACCTCACTAAGGTAATCTAGAGGTGTCACAAATGACTGTGAAGTGACTAACAAGGGAGTATAAAAGGAACTATCCTCCTCTACAAACACAAAGAGGGCCAGATTCTCCCCTAGTTTACACCACAGCAAATCAGGACTAATTACATCAGAGACAGTACAGCTATACTGGTGTACAGAAAAGTGTGAGAGAGAAGAAAAATCAGGTGCACTTTAACTGTCCATGGCAGCACACTTCCCAGATATTTCCAGCAGCCAAGTCCCACATAGACCCCCAATATCACTTGAAAGTATTCTGTCAGACCAAACATAATTTGAACATTGAATATATACTTTAAGTACTATGAAATTGGCACCATTTTACAATATTTAAATCTGTGATGCAATGTATACTCCTGGGAGAATTCTGCGCCAAAAATTTAAAATTCTGCGGCCTAAAATTAAAAACTCTGCACACAATATTTTTAAAAGTCTACAAAATTTTGCAAATTTTATTTGTCAAAGCAACACTGCATAATCACACCAGTTTCAATTATTTTGGTAATTTATGTCAAAACACCTGTCAGCAAATATGTCTGTAACAATACAGACATCCACAAAAATTCCCCCAGGAGTAGAGAGTTAAAGAAACCCCTATGCCAACCCAATTCCTGTTTCTCTGTCCCTTCCCAGCTCCCAGAACCCAGCCATCCTCCCCGAGCCCAGACGCTCACCCCTCCCTCCAAGAAACCAGCCGAGCCCCCCCAGCCCAGACACCAGCTCCCTCTTTTCCAGAACCCAGCCGTGCCCCCCCCAGCCCAGACACCCACCCCCCTACCGCCTATGGATCCAGAAGGAGAAACAGCCTGTTCCTGGGTCCCAGCCAGGCTTGTGTAATGTCCAGCACACCACGGTCTCCTTCCCTCAGAGCATGCAGGGAACTGCAGCTGCCAGGAACTCTCAGAAGGGGAGGGATAGCTCAGTGGTTTGAGCATTGGCCTGCTAAACCCAGGGTTGTGAGTTCAATCCTTGAGGGGGCCATTTAGGGATCTGGGGCAAAAACTGGGGATTGGCCCTGCTTTGAGCAGGGGGTTGGACTAGATGACCTCATGAGGTCCCTTCCAACCCTGATATTCTATGATTCGCCGGGCAGTGTGAGCTGGGCTCTGCTGCCTCCAGTGGCACCCAGCAGCATTGCAGCCCTTTCTGTGGGGGAAAGGAAATTATGCACAAAAAACATTAATTTCTGAAAAATTCTGGATTGCACACTGGCGCAGATTTCCCCCAGAAGTACCTGTTGTGGAGGCAGACAGAGGGGGCATTGTGGCAACTCTATCGGAGGGTGAAGCAGATTCACCTGACTAATGAGCGGGTATCATGCCACGTAGGTGTTGGGTGAGTGGCTCGCTGACCAACTTCGCCAAGGAGCTCAGTCACACTAGTTGGTGCTGCGATGCTCACAGCCTCACAGACTTTTTTCATATATCTAAGGAGTGCCTGCTACTCGTCTGCCCAAGCAACATGTGCCTGTGTAATTGTGCTTAATTCCATCAGGAACTCCTAGCTGCAGGACAAAACATCTCCTCTGCATATGTCAATAGCACTGGGGAGAAGGTGCTGTGCCATCTGCAGTTACTACGAGACCAGTTGTCATATTTGCTTCAAGTTAAGGAAATTAACTGGGGGTGAGGGTGTGGAGAAGGACACCTTCGTATTCATTAGAGAGAGGGGACATGATAACAGTTTTCAAGTACATAAAAGGTTGTTACAAGGAGGAGGGAGAAAAATTGTTCTTCTTAACCTCTGAGGATAGGACAAGAAGCAATGGGCTTAAATTGCAGCAAGGGTGGTTTAAGTTGTACATTAGGAAAAACTCCTTAACTGTTAGGTGGTTAAGCACTGGAATAAACTGCCTAGGGAGGTTGTGGAATCTCCATCATGGAGATTTTTAAGAGCAGGTTAAACAAACACCTGTCAGGAATGGTCTAGATCAGAGTGGGCAAACTACAGCCCGTGGGACTATCCTGCCCTGCCCTTGAGCTCCCGGCTGGGGAGGCTAGCCCCCGGCCCCTCCCCTGCTTTTCCCTCTGCCCCGCAACCTCAGTTCGCCGTGCCGCCAGCACTCTGGGCCAGAGCAGATACAGCTCAGAGCGGAGAGCGAAAGAGAGATGCGCTTCCCCTCAGAATGAAGGCTCTGATTCAGTGAGTGTTTATGTACATGCGTAACTTTATGCAGACCCATTTAAGCCAATGGAACTACCACACCCATACATTTAAGCATGTTCATTTCATGTTTGTAGGACTGGGGCAAAAATCTGTTAAATAAATTTTAGGATTCTACTCAACATGCTCATTCTTACGGTCTCAGACATTAGTACTGTGTGAAAACTAGTATGAGATTGCCAGATGAAAAGGTCCACAAGTCCAGTTTTATTATTTTGTATTTATTATTATTTTGGATGTTATTGATACTATACTGCACCCCTCCCTAAATATTTTTGTTATAACAGAAACCTAAATATTTAATTATTTCTCTGTTGCAATATCATAAAAAGTCCAGAGGAATATTAAGACAAGCTTAAAATCTCTAAGCATGAATGAAAGGGGATAAATAGATGTTGGAATTACCAAGTCATAACATTCAACATATTAAAATTCAGCTATGGGTGCTACTGCTTTACCTCTTAAATGGTAGGGATGGTAACAATAGTAGAAGGGGAGGGATAGTCAATATGCAACTAAATAAAGTACAATACTGTGTGGGTCAAAGCATTTCATTTAGCTGCAGTGTAATGGCCTTCAGAAGAGTATTGATACAGAGTTATTGTCTAGATCCCAGTTTTCCAATACCAATTAGCGATAACACTTTTTCCATTTGGAAAAAAAAGCGACTTGCTTCATGAAAGAAAAATTAACTTAGCAATTTAAATGTCTACCTGTCAACTTTCATTATCCAAAGCCATAAGAAAAAAGCTTTAGAAAATAAAGGAGGACAAAACCATAATAAATTCAAGGAATCTAGAACTTAGAGAATTGCAAAAGGTCTATAACAAAGAAAGTAGATCACTTGAAGGGAAGCACTGCTTTTTAAAATAACATTTTCTTTTAGACCAATGAACAAATGAGGGAACTTTGTGTGCTAGAAAGGATCCAAAAGAACAAGGAGTTTAAATTGTTCACCTGTTTTGTATTAGATGACTGAGATATCGTGATACCAGCTGGGGACACACCATATCGTCCCATCCAAACGATTGCATCATTGCTAAAACAGGCTGTGGCTGGAGATCTGATGGAGCTGTACAGGGCATGTCCAAAGCTAACAGAGTAAAACCTGATTTTCAACAGAGAAAAAGGAGGGGCAGAGTGTTAAGTTTCTCAAAATATTTAAAATATATTCCTGTTCTACTAACAGAGTCTGCTGTTAGTTGTTATTTAATACGTATGTTTCTGTCACTCCCACAGGCCACAATCATGATTGGGAACCCATCATGCTAGACACCGCTTAAATGCATATGAAGATGCAGTCCCTATCCTGAGGGGCTTACAATCCATGACAACACACAAGATCCAAAATTTGGCAGATTGATACAATCAAATACACACTGTTTAAAAATACATTTCCTTTTTCCTCCCCCTTTCATGCACGAGTACATTTTTTGTCCTATAACAATTTTTAAAACACTTTCTTCCTCCAGGAATGAACTTTGGAGGATTAAACTATATTTTGAAAGGTAAGGGATCTGTAGAATTGTTTCTTTCTATGTTTAGAATAAACCTTTTTAAAATGAGAGTTCCTTGGGGGCGGAGGGAGGGAGTGTAAACAGTGCAATGATAAAGTTACTTTTGAACTGAACAATCCCACGTAGGCCAAGACAACATCTCCAGATCTAGAAATGAATACCTGCCACAGAATTTTTTTTAGAGACGCAGAGTTGGTGAGGTAATATCTTTTATTGGACCAACTGCTGTTGGTGAGAGAGAAACTTTCAAGCTACAATTTAGATGTCACAATTTTTCTCTCACCAGCAGCAGCTGGTCCAATAAAAGATATTACCTCACCCATCTTGTGTCTCTAATATCCTGGAACCAACACAACTATTACAACACTGCATACAGAATTTTTTAAATGAGACATAACCATGCTCTTTATACTGGTGGACCACCATGGAACCTACATCCAACACTAACAAAAAAAATGATTCTCATAGCTCATTCTTTATGCTATGGATAACAAATACATTTCAAGGCAGGCAGGAGACATATCATGGAATGCTGATATGTTATTAGGGTAAATGAAATCGGCAACAGCAAAGGAGGTTTGGAAGACTGATCTTTATTTTTTGATAAAATGTAAGGTGCTCACCAGCTCCCAGCTTCCCAGAAACCGGCATATTAATAAATTAACAGTATACTTTGAACTACATGTATCCAGAAGCTGATTTTTGACTAGCTGAAGTACATAATAAGTCAATTCTCAGAAGCAATACAAATGCAGCTATTTGAATTAATGGAACAGGGCTAGGTCTGTGATCTTTCTACAAGTCCTCAGTAAGGGTCAGTGTGTAGTTTTGCCACCCCAGAAATAGGCTAATGACCTTTTGTAAACCACAGTCAAAATATGGTGCTTAGTTCACCGTTTACCCCGGGGAAGGAAGTAATCATGCCAACCCTGAGAGGTACATACTTAGCACAGATTACTTTCCCCACCATGGTGGTTCAGCAATGTTTGCCAGTGCAGGGGGTAAAAGTTGGGAAACTGAGTCACAAGTCCACCCAATTTAGGCTTAATCAATTTTTGCTTTTATTTATACCATTTCAGAAAGAAATATTATCACTCAGTGTCTGGACATACATTTATGCCATCCAGATAACAACAGACAAGACAGAATTGGTAAACAGCCCAAGTTGCCACATTCTGGAACACTGGGAAGTTCCTCCACCTTCCACGATCGTTGTCGCCTCCTCTGATCCCTTGGTCTGGTCCTTCAGCCCTGTTCCTCAGTTTCTGGTCTGGTGTTTCTCCAGTGTGGGTCCATGTTTGCTTGGTCTTTTATACATTTCTACACTACAGAGTCCTTAATCTTCATCAAATTGGCTTTTAGCACATCAACCTTATGGATTTTAGGTAACCAGTACATTACGCATGCGCAAGCTTCAGTTACCCAACTTAGGTATTTTTCCTGCTGGTTTTGCAGTTTCTGGGTGATGTTGTTTTGTGTCACCTTGCCCTGTGTCTTTTTTGTTTCTGTGTTTTTATTTATCATTACTTGTTTGTATATCTATTTCTTAGATCTCCCAACATAACATGTTGATTCTGTTCTATTGGCAATAACATTTTAAGCAGATTAGAAATTCTATGTAAAAGAAGAATTGGCAAAACCACACTCATGCCACCAAAACCTTGGCTTAAGAGATACCTTATCTGTACTCATTCTCTGCACATAATTACAAGTCATTAAAATATAGCTATCAAAGCTTTTAATCTTACCATTAACAGTTCTTCATTTTATATTTCAATGTTACAAGTCAGTATTTGGATTCTTTAATGTCCACATATCTTCATTCAGAGCTCAGATTTATTTGTAAATCATTACAAAGAAACTTCATTAGAAATTTTCCTGTGAATGCATTTTTGAGGGGTGATTCCATTTTAGGGGCCTTGATATTTAGTTGTTTTAATGATACTCCAACACCAGTATACTCTGAGAGAGAGGGGAAGGGGGCAACATGGTTAAAACTTCCACTTCCTGTCCCTGGATGTCCACTCCCCACCCACTTGAATAGGAAGGGGAGTAGCAGTGCTGTGGAGGCTTCTGTCTCTCCCTTGTGTAGCAACCTTCAATGCAAGTAGCCCACGCAGTGGGGTAAGAAGTTGCATTCCTCCACATTGCTCCCCTATAACGGTGCATAACACAGATCACAATTGTATCTATATTCAGCACTCTAAGCAGATTTCTAATAGAGGTTGGTTCTTTCACTATTTCATTCAAATAGAAGGAGAATGGATCTTGCTTTGGTTTTGTATTGCCATTTTCTATAATGCCTCAGCGGTGGCATTACCCTTTCACAAGAGTCTCTCTCATAACCATTATCTCACTTAACTATTGCAGAACTGCTCCAGTTCAAGGGTCTCTTAGCATTTCTGTTACTGACCTAGTCCCTGAGAGCTTATAAACATAGTTCTTAATTCACATCATGAGGGGGAAAAAAAAAAAAAAAGACTCTGTTTCGATCTGGCCTTTTCAGATTCAGTACATCCTCAGAGCTAGAGATCAGCCCCCTGTCAAACTGAAACATAGTATTATATTAACATTTCAGCAAAAATAATACTGCATCCAAATGCAGTGAGCCAGATCCTCAGCTGCCACAAATCAGCGTAGCTCCACCAAAGCCAAGGATCTGATCCAGCATTCTTACTATTCACTGACACACTATCCATCTGTCTGGATTCGGAGTGGTATTTGCAAGGTAAAATTCTAGCAACCTAACAGCTTCCAATACAAAATGACCGATCAGAACAGTCCAATGTAATGTCAGAATGCATCTGAAAGTAAAAATGCTACAAAAAGTGATAATGAAATTTACCTTTTAAAAAATATCTGCATAGATGTCAAAATATGATACCAAAATGTAAAATTATGTTAAACCATTAGCATACTGAAAAAAACAAGATGAGAGAAAACTTTCATGTGAAGCTATAGAATAGATTTTAGGTATAATGTAATGAACCATAAATCATTATCCTTATTTAGATTACAGCAAACATTACAAATATAATTTAAGCTGTCAATGATGCAAAAAATCAAAGAGTCCTATAGATTCAAACCACTCCAGTATTATAGATCTGTATCCTATTGACAGAGCCAGCACTTCATTTTTTTTGTTGTCAAAATATTTAGCACCATTATCACAGAGCCCAGTCTCTACATTTGCGTAGATTTGAGCTACTAAACATGAGCAGGAATATGCCAAAACCTTAAAATGGAGAAAAGTTTGCATTCAGGGAAATAGCAAAGGAGGCAACAGAGAAAAGGAGCGTCAGTGCTGACCTGCAGCTGTATCTGCAAGCTGTGGAGGAGGCAGTGTCTGTGATATCCTTTGGCTCTTCAAGAAGGGGAAAAAATTTCTCCAGAGAGCACTGGCAACAGCAAGGTGGTGCTCTTTAGCCACTAATGGAAGTTGTGTGTTTGGGCCCGTGTTCCCTAGCTGAGGTCCCTGGATCACACGTTCGTGCACACTCCTAGGGAGAAACAAAAACAACGTTAACATGTAATAAATGAAAAAAACAGATTCTTTCACAGTTTCTTTAAACTGTATAGTCTGAGAACTGAAGGATCATTTTGTGTAATTAAAACCTTTTTGCAAGACATTATGCATACCGGTTATTTGATGGATGAATGATGGCATATTAAGCACCATAAAGTTAATGTTAATTACTAATGTCAACCATTAATTATATGCCTTTTAATATGTCAGATCAAAATGAGAAACAGGTCACTTTAAAAAGAACGTTTGCATTTTGCAACTGCTGGCAAGACAAGTGAGTCTTGCTTACAATCCAAAGCCAGGCACTCTTTTTTTTAAAATTATCTGTAAGAGTGTAAGTGCATGGGTGTGTACAGAAAAACAGTAAATAATGAAAAATGCTTTTTCTTAATTGCAAGACTTAGTATTAAAGTTGACTTTTTAATTTGTGAGACCTCAGTAGATGCGTGGTTAGATAAGAGAAAAGATGCATGTTTTCCTGATGCATTGTAGACAATTCGGTTTGACAGTAGGGCCACAGCTTTCTTAGTACAGTAAGGACAAAAGTTACCACTACCACACAACTCCCATCTCTTCGTGAGACAATGTGGCATAAATTCAATAATGCACTCAATTTTCTTTGATTATTCTTCTAGTACCATTCCTGCTACTTAATCTAATTTGGAAGTTGTGACTTTCTAGAGGTTTAATAGAGATATGTCTGCAGGGAATCAATGTTCTCAGAGAAATGGGGGTGGGGGGGAGCATTAATACATTTGTCTGGTAGACTAGGATAGGAGGCATTACTGCAATGGGCTGATCAACTAAATAACATGCTTATTAAAAACAATCTGCAGGAACACACTGTCATTCCTGTTCCTATTTATCTTCTGGTCAACTCAATTGAGATTGTGCATTAAAGCACAGGCAGCATTATTACATTTGCTTTATTAAATTCTATAAACAGCACTGTAAAGTCAGAGTCAAGATATTTAGAAGATAATAGCATAGAGTGAAGGCAGTGAGACTTGCTTTAACGCTAATGTTTGTAGACTATACCATAAGAAAAAAAACATGAGATAGTCACACGAGCAAATGTTTCACAACACTCCTTTCTCTGGCTTCCTAGGTTTTTATTCTATGCTCATCCTAATAAATAAAGTTCCCCCCTGGAGAATGTGAAAGAATTATAAAAGAATTACACAACTCATGACACTCATTAGGACATCTGGACTGGAATAATTTTAAATAAAGAGCGGACAGGCAGCAAGGCCTACTCTTAGCCCTGGTCTACACTAGGAGTTGAGGTCGAATTTAGCAGCGTTAAATCGATTTAGCCCTGCACCCGTCCACACAAAGCTCTTTTTTCGACTTAAAGGGCTCTTAAAACCGATTTCTTTACTCCACCCCTGACAAGGGGATTAGCGCTGAAATTGGCCTTGCTGGGTCGAAATTGGGGTACTGGGGATGCAATTCGACAGTATTGGCATCTGGGAGCTATCCCAGAGGGCTCCATTGTGACCGCTCTGGACAGCACTCTCAACTCAGATTCACTGACCAGGTAGACAGGAAAAGGCCCGAGAACTTTTGAATCTCATTTCCTGTTTGGCCAGCATGGCAAGCTGCAGGTGACTGCAGAGCTCATCAGCAGAGGTGACCATGATGGAGTCCCAGAATCGCAAAAGAGCTCCAGCACGGACCGAACGGGAGGTATGGGATCTGATCGCTGTATGGGGAGAGGAATCCGTGCTATCAGAACTCCGTTCCAGTTTTCAAAATGCCAAAACATTTGTCAAAATCTCCCAGGGCATGAAGGACAGAGAGCATAACAGGGACCCGAAGCAGTGCCACATGATACTTAAGAAGCTGAGGCAAGCCTACCAGAAAACCAGAGAGGCAAACAGCCACTGCGGGTCAGAGCCCCAAACATACCGCTTCTATGATGAGCTGCATGCCATTTTAGGGGGTTCAACCACCACTACCCCCACCGTGTGCTTTGACTGCATCAATGGAAAGGGAGGCCACACGGAAGCAGATTTTGGGGATGAGGAAAATGATGATGATGAGGTTGTAGATAGCTCACAGCAAGCAAGCGGAGAAACCGGTTTTCCTGACAGCCAGGAACTGTTTCTCACCCTGGACCTGGAGCCAGTACCCCCCAAACCCACCCAAGGCTGTCTCCTGGACCCGCCAGGCAGAGAAGGGACCTCTGGTGAGTGTACCTTTTTAAATTGTATACATGGTTTAAAAGCAAGAGTGTTTAATGATTCATTTGCGCTGGCATTCGCGGCCAGTACAGCTACTGGAAAAGTCTGTTAACGTGTCTGGGAATAGAGCGGAAATCCTCCATCGACATCTCCATAAAGCTCTCCTGGATGTATTCCCAAAGCCTTTGCAAAAGGCTTATTCTGTCCACCATCGTAGGACACTTTACCATGCCAGGTCAGTAGCATGTAGTCGGGAATCATTGCAGAGCAAAGCATTGCAATGTATGTTTGCTGGTGTTCAAACAGCATCCGTTCTTTATCTCTGTGTTATCCTCAGGAGAGTGATATCATTCATCATGGTTGAAATAGGGTGCTTTTCTTAAGGGGACATTCAGAGGTGCCTCTTCCTGCTGGGCTGTTTGCCTGTGGCTGAACAGAAATGTTCCCCGCTGTTAGCCATGGGGAGGGGTTAGCCACGTGGTGGGGGGAGGCAGAACGCGACCTTGTAACGAAAGCACATGTGCTATGTATGTAATGTTAACAGCAAGGTTTACCGAGAAAGAGTGTACCCATTGTTCTATAAAATGTGTCTTTTTAAATACCACTGTCCTTTTTTATTTCTCCACCAGCTGCATGTGTTTCAAGGATCTTCTCCTTCCCAGAGGCTAGCAAAGATTAGAAAGTGAAAAAAACGCACTCGCGATGAAATGTTCTCTGAGCTCATGCTGTAAGCTCCCACACTGACAGAGCACAGACGAATGTGTGGAGGCAGACAATGTAAGAGTGCAGGAAAGCACAAAATGACCGGGAGGAGAGGTGGCGGGCTGAAGAGAGTAAGTGGCGGGCTGAAGAGAGGGCTGAAGCTGAAAGGTGGCAGCAGCGTGATGAGAGGGGGCAGGATTCAATGCTGAGGCTGCTGGAGGATCAAACCAATATACTCCAGTGTATGGTTGAGCTGCAGGAAAGGCAGCAGCACAGACTGCCGCTACAGCCCCTGTGTAACCAACCGCCTTCCTCCCCAAGTTCCATAGTCTCCTCACCCAGATGCCCAAGAACGTGGTGGGGGGCCTCCGGCCACTCCACCCCAGAGGATTGCCCAAGAAACAGAACGCTGGCATTCAATAAGTTTTAAAGTGCTGGGTGGCCTTGTCCTTCCCTCCTCCACCAACCCACCTGGTGCTTTCCCCCTCCTCCACCCCTCCCGGGCTACCTTGGCAGTTATCCCCCTACCTATGTGATGAATTAATAAAGAATACATGACAGTGAAGCAACAATGACTTTATTGCCTCTGCAAGCAGTGATTGAAGGGAGGCGGGGAGGGTGGTTAGCTTACAGGGAAGTAGAGTGAACCAAGGGTGTGTGTGTGTGTGGGGTTATCAAGGAGAAACAAACAGAACTTTCACACCATTCACAACTGGTTTTCAAAGCTTCTCTGATGCACACCATGCCCTCCTGTGCTCTTCTAACAGCCCTGGTGTCTGGCTGCATGTAACCAGCTGTCAGGCGATTTCCTCAACCTCCCACCCCGCCATAAACATCTCCCCCTTACTCTCACGGATATTGTGGTGCGCACAGCAAGCAGTAATAACAGTGGGAATATTGGTTTTGGTGAGGTCTAACCCAGTCAGTAAACTGCGCCAGCACGCTTTTAAACGTCCAAATGCACGTTCTACCACCATTCTCCACTTGCTCAGCCTGTAGTTGAACAGCTCCTAACTACTGTCCGGGGTGCCTGTGTATGACTTCATGAGCCATGACATTAAGGGGTAGGCTGGGTCTCCAAGGATAACTATCGGCATTTCAACATGCCCAATGGTTATTTTCTGGTCTGGGAAGTAAGTTCCTTTTTGCAGCTTTTGAAACAGACCAGAGTTTCTAAAGATGCGAGCGTCATGTACCCTTCCCGGCCATCCCACGTTGATGTTGGTGTAACGTCCCTTGTAATCCATCAGTGCTTGCAGCACTATTGAAAAGTACCCCTTGCGGTTTATGTACTCGCCGGTTTGGTGCTCCGGTGTCAAGATAGGGATGTGGGTTCCATCTATGGCCCCATCACAGTTAGGGAATCCCATTGCAGAAAAGCCATCCACTATGACCTGCACATTTCCCAGGGTCACTACCCTTGATATCAGCAGATCTTTGATTGCGTTGGCTACTTGCATCACAGGAGCCCCCACAGTAGATTTGCCCACTCCAAATTGATTCCCGACTGACCGGTAGCTGTCTGGCATTGCAAGCTTCCAGAGGGCTATTGCCACTCGCTTCTCAACTGTGAGGGCTGCTCTCATCTTGGTTTTCTGGCACTTCAGGCAGGGGAAAGCAAGTCAAAGTTCCATGAAAGTGTCCTTATGCATGCAAAAGTTTCGCAGCCACTGGGAATCGTCCCCAGACCTGCAACACTATGCGGTCCCACCAGTCTGTGCTTGTTTCCCGGGCCCAGAATCGGCGTTCCACCACATGAACCTGCCCCATTAGCACTATGATGCCCACATTGCCAGGGCCCGTGCTTTGAGAGAAGTCTGTATCCATGTCCTGATCACTCTCGTCACCGTGCTGACGTCGCCTACTCACCCGGTTTCGATTTGGCAGATGCTGGTGCTGCATATATTGCTGGATAACGTGTGTGGTCTTTAATGTGCTCCTCATTGCCAAAGTGATCTGAGCAGGCTCCATGCTTGCCGTGGTATGGCGTCTGCATGGAAAAAAGGCGCGGAATGATTGTCTGCCATTGCTCTGACGGAGGGAGGGGAGACTGACGACATGGCTTACAGGGTTGGCTTACAGGGAATTAAAATCAACAAAGGGGGTGGCTTTACATCAAGGAGAAACAAAAACAACTGTCACACAGAATAGCCCCCTCAAGGATTGAACTCAAAAGCCTGGGTTTAGCAGGCCAATGGTCAACCCACTGAGCTATCCCTCCCCCTAGTATTCCAGGCAGGACTGAATCTCCATTAAACTTTTCAAGGTGCCCCTGACAGACCTCACCAAAATGATTGTCGGCCATTGATTTCACAGAGGGAGGAAGAGAGGGGGGAGCAAATGAATATAAAACAAATCTGGTGTATTTCTTGTTTTGATCCACTCCATCTATCTTTTACATCTTTGGCTGGCAGCAGACAGTGCAGTAGGACTGCTAGCCATACTCATCTCCTGGCTGCTCGGCAGAAGACAGTGAAATAGGACTGCCAGCCATCCTCATCTCTTGCCTACTTGCCATAAAATGGTGCAATAGGACTACTAGCCATCCTCATCTGCTGGCTGCTCGCCAGAAGACGGTGCAATACGACTACTGGCAGGACTAAAGAGAATGACCTGGTCGAGTCACTCGTATTTTAGTCCCTGCGCCCAGGTCTGCCCAGGTGCTCCTGACAGACCTTACCGAGGCGGCACCTCGGACATGATGAGGATGGTTTTCAGGCCTATTGCACTGTCTGCTGCCACAAGGCAATGAGCTGCTGCTGTGTAGCAATGCAGTACCGCATCTACCAGCACCCAGGAGACGTACGGTGACAGTGAGCTGAGCGGGCTCCATGCTTGCCATGGTATGGCGTCTGCACAGGTAACTCAGGAAAAAAGGCACAAAACGATTGTCTGCCGTTGCTTTCATGGGGGGAGGGAGGGCCTGATGACATGTACCCAGAACCACCTGCGACAATGTTTTTGCCCCATTAGGCATTGGGATCTCAACCCAGAATTCCAATGGACGGCGGAGACTGCAGGAACTGTGGGATAGCTACCCACAGTGCAACGCTCCAGAAGTCGACACTAGCCTCGGTACTGTGGAAGCACTCCGCCGAGTTAATGCACTGAATGCACTTAGAGCATTTTGTGTGGGGACACACACACTCGAATATATAAAAACGATTTCTAAAAAACCGACTGCTATAAATTCGACCTTATTCCGTAGTGTAGACATACCCTTAGGATGGTTGGTATTAGAAGTGTGTATCATTGTACCAAATTAGTATCCAAAAAATTCTCCCAAACGGATCATTTTAAAAATAAAGCATACTGGCTGTCAAAGGTAACAGATACCTTATGGCTATCCACAGGCAGCTATTAGTTTCAATGGGATACACACAGGGAATTTAGTACCACTACTTTTTGACTGGTTACAGTTAACACACATAATATAGGTTGCGTAATGTAGTATAAGGCATCAAATATTTTGTTGAAAGGGCCATGGTCCAAACACAAGTGGGAACCAGAAATCCCTGACTTCTAAGATTACCTCTAGCATTTATTCCCTCTGTGGCCTTAGATAAGTAATTTAACCTTTGTGAACTTCAGTATCCGATCCAGGGAATTGGGGTGGTAATATTTATCTCCACTTTCATAGGATGTTGCGAAGACTAATCAATGCTTGTAAAAAACACTTAGAAGACGAAAATTCTGTTCAGTATAACAGTTGAGTAATCCATTTGAAGAAACAAATAATCTCCAAGTTAACATGCATAAAAAGGTGCTTCTTTGGGATTTTCTCTGACACACACAACAGGTACAGCAACAACAACAGAAATACAAGTTCAAAAAAACAGGTATGTAACAATTTGGGCTTATAACAATATGGTTGAGTTAACTCTGAGCAGAAAAAGGGCTAACAGACTGAGTTAAAAAAATAAAAGGAATTAATGGCTCAAAAAATCTGAATGGTTCTGTTTGTTTTAATAAAGGGAGGGAGAATTCCTTTTAATACAGCAAGTAAAATTACAAGGACCAAATTCTATCTTTACTCACATCTGTACAAACCTACTGATTGGTCCAAAATCCTTCTCCTCTCCTCCAAATTGCCTCTCCAAAGAAAGACTGTTTACATTTCCTTTAGCCATCTATGCCTAGTGGAAGGATATTCAGTCTTCCAAAGTAAGGTAACATATCGCTGAGCCAGGAGAAAGGCAACATGCACAAATATGTGTTTATGTTTATTCATAGTGACCTAAACAAACACTTGCAATGAGGTAAATGCTTAGAGTCAATGGGGCCCGAATCTGTGCTAGAGAAGGGGTTCTCAAACTGGGGGTCGGGACCCCTCACAGGCTCACGAGGTTATTACATGGGGGAGCACAATTTGTCAACTTCCACCCCAAGCCCTGCTTTGCCTCCAGCATTTATAATGGTGTTAAATATATAAAAAAGTGTTTTTAATTTGTAAGGAGGGCTCGCACTCAGAGGCTTGCTATGTGAAAGGGGTCACCAGTACAAAAGTTTGAGAACCACTGTGCTAGAGTCAAAGTTCAGTCAGCCACTTCCACCAATAAACAAACCCTTTATTGCAATAACAATATTGATAAATACAGCCATGCTTTTCGCTTAGCAGTCTCGACAAATGTGCCCACTAGAAACCTGCTCTACTACTGAGATCATATACTTTCTGTTTTCGCTAAAACAAGGTGTTTTTCTGTTTACTAACAGACAAAATAAAATTTGGCTTCATAAAAGCCAGGAACATTTGTTACTCCTGTCCGCAGCCTGGAGGTTGTGCTGGATAATCATATAGCAGCAGTGTTCAGGAACACTTTGTACTGTTTGTACCTGGACAGAGATTGCAGCCATTTCTTTCAGGTGTGGCCCTTGCCACCAGGATCTGTGCCTTTGTCCCCTCCAGACTTAGGGCTATACTTTGGGTCAATCCAGAAATTTAAACAGGTGCAGAATGCCACAGATTGCCTATTAAATGGAGGTGCATGTCACCAGCGCACCATGATCTGCTGTAGCTGCCTACTAGCTTCTAGACTGAATGTAGTGTTTATTTTGATCTACAAAGGCTTGGGACCCTGCAACTTGAGAGGCTGCCTCTCTCCACCTGCCATACTGTCTGGATGTGATCAGCAGAGGCATTTGTGCTGTATCCCTCTTGATTTAAAAGAAATGGGACCAGTGATAGAGCACTCTTTGTGAGAGGTCCTCAGCTCTGAAATAGGCTCCCTCCTGCAAGCCCCAGGCTTGCAATAGTCTAAATCCAGTAAGAGAAATTAGAAATTTTAGGAAGAAAAATAATCATTCACGTTCACAGGAATGCTAAGGAGACATTTAACAGCTGAGTAAAGGTTTATACAGTAGTTTTAAATGACCTAAAGTCAATACATCCTTACAAACAAATATTAAAACCACCCCAGCCTGTACCTGGCTTCCACTGGGGAAGATCAATGATCTAGGACTAGGTATAGAGATATGTTAAAGGTAACAACCTGGTTAATCTTGTATTAGGGACACGCTAACCTGAGGAAGAAACAGAAGATCT